AAGAGTGCAGGCTCCACGCAAGGCATACGAACTGTTTTTCTTTTCTGCTTTCAATCGATCCATCATAGAACCACCCAAGGCATTCCAGGTTCTGTTGAAGCGGCATTGCAGCGTGCTGCATTCTGCGCTGCGTTCTTTGACCGTGCTGTCTTTGTTTGCTGCAAAAGCTGTAATGTTGCGTTCTGCTGGTGTTCCTGCGTGTGCTTCTTTGTCGGCATGCAGAGAAGTGATGGCCACATCCACGGCCCTCAGCTGCGGATAGCCAACCACGCCTCAACCGGGTTTTGGGACCCACCATTTCAAGGATTCAGCTTTTAGTTTGAGGGAACCCTCACCATCCCTCACACAAAGAGGTTTGACCATGGCACACATGCTGCACAGCATGGATTGAAAAAGTGGGAGCCGCAATTCAGATCAGCAAGCATGTTGCCATGGAGACACTTCCCCCGTGTGTTGCAGATGATCGAAATGGCTTGAAGATGTCTCGCCTTTTTCCAGATCATCTTCTCCCAGTCTCTCCGACAATCTTGGGCACGGACCAGACCAGCGTAAGCAGACGTTGCCCTAGCTGACAAATGCTCACTGGGGTGCCTCCAGTGAGACAACTGCCAGTGGGCTTGTTTGATGTCCGATATCCGATGGGTTGCTGGTCCAGAAAACCTGCGCCGCAAGGCCAGATTGGCCGTTTGGGCTGCAAAGGGGGGTTGACAACCGCTGTGATAATGTTTGCTATCAGCCGCCAGCACAGGCCCACGTCCGAAACTCTGTGGATCCGAGTGCTTGAAAACTCTGCAAAGAGCTTGCGGAAATTGGCCTATGACTTGAAGGTAGCAGAAACGGAGAAATCCGTCGAAACCATTGAATCCAGTCACAAAGCCCTACATGAGGTTCTGAAGCATTGTCCCTGGGGTGATCCTAGTGCGACTGCAGCGGCCCCAAGTCATATTTCCAGCGATCCGTTGGTTCAGAGACATGGGGAGACAACACGTGCTATGATAGACTACGAGCTATCACGGATCGCTTGGATGTTGCAGCGAGCAGAAGATGACGAGTTACGCTCGTCTCTACTTGCGAGAGATGCTCTCCAGCGGTTGCGCACTTTCGACATTGAAGGGGCCCACGCATCCTTGACCAAGGCGTACCGCTTGCACGAGGCCGGGCAACTCTCTTCCGCTTTTGACCATGGCTTGTTGGAATACACGTGGAAGCTGCTTGCGGCGCGCGACTTCACCAGCTCCGGATCTGATTCCCTTCCGCGGGTCAAAGAGCAGCTCAATGCAGCGAGGTACACGGAAGACATGGTTCTTTGGGCATCTGGTGTCTCCTCGTTGACGGAGTTTGTTTTGCGAAAGCAGGCGATTGAGGCACATCTGGCAGAGTGGTGTTTACAGGACAATCACGCGGACAGGTCCGTCCTGCGGGACCTCATCAAATTGTTCTTGCTCCATGCAGTGATGCCTGTAAAGGAAGTACATGCCGCCATCGGCGCACAAGCATGCCAGATCCTGATGGATCACGGAGTCTTGTGCTCACACTACGACTCGGTTTCGGTGTTCGCGTCTGTGGCGCTTTGGCCGGTGGGCTCGGGGGACGAAGCCCTGTTGCTCGCCACGGACTTCGAATCCAGCTGCTTCTCGGGTGAGGTGGCTGTGGCTCAAAACCAATTAGATCCCATTTTGGGGGTTTTCGGTGCACCACCCATTTTAGAACCTATTCTAGTGGTTGGATTGGTAGGTGCACGCATGTTAGAACCTATTCTGGTGGTTGGATTGGGATGTTCCCTGCGGCTACGGGCTTTGGCATTTGGACCCATGGCCAGGTGGAGCCGGTGATGTACCTCTCGGAGGACTCCTTGGCCCTCTTCGCCGCCGCGCCGCGCGCGACGTTCGTGGAACATGCGGCGGACCTCTGCTGTGGCTGCGGCATCCAGGGGCTTCTGGCGCTGAAGACATATGCGCGGAGGGTCACCTTCGTGGACGTGAACCCCAGATGTTTGAGCTTCACGGCCTTCAACCTGGCGACCAATGGCTTGACAGAGGGCTCCTGCCTGAGAACTCGGGACATTTGCGCGGATGATATGGAGGACCTGAAGTCATTCGATGCCATCTTGGTCAACCCTCCCTTCATGCCAAATCCCAAGAACATAGCTACCGGTGCGAGCCTCCTCTACGGGAATGGTGGGGATGATGGTGAGCGAGTTCTTTCTTCTGCTGTTGCCTTTGCGTCACACCACCTTTCATCACAAGGATACATGCTCGCAGTGTCAAAGGCCCCCAATGCAGAAGAGCTTCCCGCCCGTTTGCGCTTGTGGACCCCGGGGAAGGCAATTCTCTACCGGGGGCCAGCAATTCCGGCTGGGCTCTACATGCCCACGGCCGCAAGCAGCGGAGTGGAGCCAGTGCGTTACCAGCAGGCGTTGTCAGAGAGGAGAATTCACAGCTTGTCGCAGACGCTGCTCTGTTTGGTCGGAAGTGATAGACGGGACCTGGAAGTCGACATCTACGAGACGGAAGATCGCCTGTGGCTCCAAACTGACTTCCTGAAAGGGCATGTTCGCAGGAAACTGGAGGACATGTTGGAGAGGGGTGGCGGAACAAACTCGCTGCGGTGCCTGCAAGGTGCCCCGTATGAAGGCTAGGGCTGAGCAATTCATGTGTCACAAATGTTGCGCAAGATGTTTGGCCCAAGCACACAGCTGAACAGCCAATGAGTCTTGCACTGACCGTTAGCGCTTTGCTACCGCAGAATCAAGCACAAGTAACGTGGACAAGTGCCGTTGATATTGGCCTGATGCAAGTCAATTTGTCAACACCTGGCCCTGAGTCTCCCTCCCAAAAGTCGACCCAAGCCAAAGAGAACCAAGCCAAAGAGCGCGATTCTTCTCACTCGGAGGATGTTTGTCTTTTTGTTCATGCATGGAAAGCCAATCAGCCCGATTCTTGGATGCAAGCTGGCAAGTGCCGAAGCTTTGGCAGCTCGATCTCACTAGGGTTTCTTAGCGAGCATGGACACCGAGAAAGGTGCAGAGGACGGGATTCGGATCTTGGCCGCATGGATCTCAAGCTACGTCGTCCTGCCAGGACGTTGAGAATGTAGCTGACAAGCCAGCAGAGGAGTCTCGGATGGAGGAGCGCACCGAGGAGCCACCAGAGGAGTCGACGGAGGAGCCAACGGAGGCGACGGAGCCACCAGAGCCGACGGCGACGCCACACACGCAGGAGCCGCAAGCCTCGGAGCCAAAGGCAAAGGAACCACAGGAGCAAGAGCAGGAACCACAGGAAGCACAGGAAGCACAGGAACCGCAGGAACCGCAGGAGGTGCAGGAGGTGCAGGAGGTGCAGGAGCCACAGGGGCAGTCACAGGAGACAGGCACGACAAATCACTTGCTTTGATGAGTCTGGTGCCGAAAGAAGGAGTGTTTCAGAAGCCATGAAACCCTTCTACTGCCAGGTTTGAGACATGGTTCGTTGTCGTTTGGATCCTTCAGGGTGCAAAGCTGCATTCACACTGCACTTGACACCTTGCGGGTCATTTCTGGCCCATGGACGCCGATCTCACGAGTATTTGTCAGGCTCGCCAGCAGGAGATAAATCTGAAGGACCGCCTCCCAGGCTAGGGAGCAACTAGGATGCTGAGAAGAATCACACATGCCATGTTTGACTGTTGCAACTGTGCCAAGCTTAACCGTGGAATGGCTGGCAAGGGCGCTTGCACCACGGAACGAGTACCTTACGTTCCGGGAGATGCTCAAGCCGAGGGCCAAAACATGCCCGGAATGGATGCATTGGATTTGAACGCAAGCTCAGTCGGATTTAGATGCAGAGGCACGAGTCGGCCGTGCCCCTGGCGGCCAAATTGCAGGCGAAGCCGTGTTGAGATGTGTTGAGCAATACCGCCCGTGAGACACTCACGCCCCAAAGGAGATTAGGTGTGCCACGGTCAAATCAGCTGCTTACATGGTCAATCCGTGTGCAGATTCGATGGAGTCATGGAGCTTGAAACATAGCCCCATCTGCTGGCAGGAGTTTGTGAGGCAATTTCCCGGCGGTCGGAGCCTCGATTTGAGCTCTCGCCACGCCGGAGTGCGCATATGCAACTTGGCATCTCTATGCTGCCAGGATTGCCTCGTGAACAAGCTGCTGATCGCGTCCACAAATTCCTGTCTGCTACACAGGACGGGATTCTGAGAGTTTGAGAAGATTCCATATCCCAGATGGTTCCCTCCAGCTGCTGTCATGCGCGCATCACGCACCTTGAAGTCAATCTTCAAAACTCACCGGAGTGGCAAGTGCGAAGCATTCAGAGATGTTTCTGCCTGTACCGACAGAGCCGGGGAGGCGTAGGTTCAGACGAACAAACCATAGTTTGGCACGTAGATATTCTCCCTGTGAACTGCCAGCGCATGCAAGCGTGCCTTTTTCTGCGTCTTCATCTTCAAGCGCATGCGTGTGTGAAATCATGTGAGCCAGTTGCTGCAACTGCTTAGTCAGCTAGTTAGGTAGTCAGGCGCTGAGGATGTAGTTCACACGGCGTGCAGAAGCCGTGCGTTTTTCTGGGGTTGGGGAGGACAGGGGTGTGGGGGGGCGGGATGCATCCAAAGGCACTGGCCCCAGTGCCTCAACCGACGTCAGGTTGGCACTTTCACCCAAAGTGAACGTTTCACACGTTTCAACCAGAGCTTGCAGGGGCATCATCAGACGCCTGTGCCGCGCCTTTAGAGCAGTTGTTTTGGCAAGGGAAAGCGCCGCAGTTTTGTTTGGCCTTCGGAAGCTTCATGCAGGCTTTTGGGCCAGCGTTTCCATGTCCTTGGTCGCGGTCGCTGTCTAGTCTTTTGTAGTTAACAAGTGGAGCACGTCTTTCCCCGGCTGTGCTTTGCGCAAGAGATTGCTTGCTTGTGCGCTTGATCTTTCTCTGCACCTACCGTCGTTTGTGTACTCTGCGTCCTCAGTCGCCCGGTCTTCCTGCGAGAGCCAAGAGCAAAGACATTGGCGCAGATGCCAGTATTGTGGCCTCGCTCCAACTCCCACCCTTCTGGTAAAGGTGCCAGGCAAGCGAAACACGTTGGCACGGAGGCTTTACGCACGTTTTTGAATTACGCCTATTGCTCTGCAATTATCATACAAAACCTCATAGGATTTCGCTCACTGCAAGAAGTGAGAGAGACTTTCTGTCGCAAACAAGTTGCACGAACGAGGAGTTTTGGGGGGTTGTGGTTCGCCTTGGTGTAAAGCTTCTGTCCTGCTGATCCATCGAAATCAAAATGGGAAGCAACTGTGCCTGACACAGAACCAGTGGTATTTCGAGCTTCAAATGAACTACCGAGTAGTTAGCTCAACGTCCACACAGAGAGTTTAACAATCAAATGCAAAACCAACAGTTCATAGCAATTGCTGACGAGCTTTTCTCAAGCTCCTGCGTAGACCTGTACCTTTCGCCTCTCCTACATGCACCCGCCCTTTACACTCCTACGTGCATCAATAGAGAACCCCAACAGCTAAGCTTTTTGGGCAAACAAGAGCTTGCAACGTCGACAACTGCCCACAGAGGGCTCACCATTTGAGGTTGTGAAACAGTGCACGCGGCTTGCCAATGGTCCCGTCCGCTTGTCTCGCAGCTGGGCGTTTTGCTCTTGGGCAGAAGGCTCTTAGCAGAAGATGTTAATGTTCTTCGGCGTTTGCATTTCAGCCAACTCGGCTTCTTGACGGTAAGTACTTAGAGGCCTGACAATGGTTGTTAGTCTCAATCAAGGTTGCATTTGCAACTTGCAGAACAGTGGCATGCAGCTTGAACATGTGCATATCTATAAAACATATACATAAATATATAGAATACATCTGTGAAATATGTATGTATTACATATGTCCAAGGGGCTAACACAGCTTCAATGATTCAAGCGAATAGTGGGTGTTTGTATGTATGTGGACATGTGTGTACATGTGGTGTGTACGGATCTCACCGTGTGACGCCGGGCAGGAGTGGATGCTGTCAAGCGTCCAAGTGTTTGTGGGAGCAGATGAGGCCTGGGCTGCTCCGCAAAATTTCAGCACTTTCAGCGCATGTGCGCAAGGCTGGGCAAACAAGCGCAGCGGAAGGACTGGAAAAGCTGGGCCCACAGCACTTCATGTGGCACCCAAGAGGCACGAAAGGCATTTGATGCTTTGCTGGCTGAAAGGTTTTTGATGAGCAGAGTGCACGGCAAAGTGTTCTGTGTGGAGAAGACTGACCCAGAAGAGGATCACTTGCTTGCTTGGTGTAGCTTGTGACGATGGCATGGGCATTTACAGTATGGCAGTTGATCAAAAGCGTGTTTGCGCTAGCAAAAAGCGCTGTGCAATGGAGTTGTGAGAGGTAAACAAGCAAAGATGGCCATAATCGATCAAAGCCCATCGTGAAAACGGATGTCGGAAGTTGATTTTGAGTCAGGATGATTTGCTGCGACAGCGCATTGATAGCTTGAGCCACTGCCCCAGCGCTGTGTTTGCAGTGTCACCGTGTTGGATGTAAATGTGTCCAATATGTCCCAAAACTGGGTTTGCAGAAGGTGGACCTGCCATTTGTCATTATTTGGAAGCAATGACAACTCAGGTTGGGTCGGCTTCACCAATCTGGGTGTTCCGTCAGTCAGAAGCTCAATGGATTGAAAAGTGTGAGTCGGAAGTTGTGCTACCTCCATGGCGCTTGGGAAGGCAATAGTAATGATAATGTATAGAGATTGGTCGCGTGCCTTGTTGACGGCTTGCTGCTTGTTCGTGGCCAGTTGATGTAGCTATGAAAAGGGGATGCACACGGTGTGGTTTGTTTGACGCGGCCAAGGTGGATGTCTCCCTGCTTGATTTAGCAGTGGACCAGCTTCAAAGCATGGACAAGTTTAAGGCGGTGCTGAGTGCAAGCAAGCATTGTGGGGTGTCCGCAAAGCCAAACACAATTGCTCTGTGCGAGTGCTCAGACATGGGTCGAAGCAGGCTCCACGCGACAAGATGGTTTGCATTTTGAATGCCTGCCGAGTCGTCGGATATCTTAGCATCAAGTACAGACGGCCAATATGCAAGTGCCTTGTTGGAATGTAGTGACGGCATTCAAGACATGCTGAGATCAACGACGTGCTTCAGAGGGCTATAGTTGAAAGCCGTTTGCCAAGAATGTTCCTCGCTCGCTCTGCATGGGAAAGAGTTGAACTCAGGCGGTAATGGGAGACCATTGTCGGCAGACGACTTTTTGCCGATGCTCATCTTCTGCGTCATTCTGGTGCATCACTTCATTGTTGAATGATGCCTGGCATCACATTCTGCTTTGAGGCCAACCCTCCACGGCTCCATTCCAACATTGAGTTTGTTGCAGCTTTCAGGCCCATGTCTCTGCAACAAAAGCTGAGTTATTCCACGCCAGTTCAGGCACCCTACACGATTGGTTGCGGAGGACTGCAGCTTGCGATGTGCGTTGGTCAAGAGCGCTGTTCACAGCGCCAAACCATGTCACCAGATGGGTGTGGGTCAAAATTAAACCACCTGGGGCCTGGGGACCGCAGATTTTACTCTTTGTTTCCATTTACCAGGGTTCCCTTTTGGGGTTAGCCTATTTTTGACCCACACCCAGATACCAGGATGCCTACTTCTTGACGGCTTTACAGCACTGAGCATAGATTCCGAGCATACAGTGTGAATACTTGGTTGCCCCTCTTCGCGCACAGTTATCTTGAATGTGGTCTACTGAACAGCCGCACGCTGCACCCCGAAACTCGAGCGCCGCAGAGGTCATCTGTGGCGTTCGTGAAGGATGCTGGGCCAAAGGCCAGACACCAGACGTGTCGTCACATAAGTACGCGCATGTCGGTTCACGGCCCTTTGCAACTAAAGTTCCATGTCACATATGTAACGCATACATGAAGATATATATTAATATGTGTATATGTACATAGGCATGCATACATGGGAATTGACCACGCAAACATGTAGAAATATATTGTACCCTCCCCCGACCCCTCCCCCCCCCCGCCCGTGGATCTACCTCTGTCCAATTTCTAGTCTTAGGTTTGGTCAGAAGATGTAAAACAGCAGCTATATTGGAGCCAAGAGTACAAAAGTGAAAAACAATGAAATAAGGCAAAGTACAAAAAAAGAACTTGTCAACTATGATAATCGATGTCGGAGAATATACTGCGGGATCGTGGGTTGAATTACTTTACTTTGTTGTTTATTTACTTTTGTGGCATTGGCTCCAAAACTTTATTTGTTTAGTTCCTATTTGGGCCAGTGGCTTCATAATTTGACAATTTTACTTCTTACTTTTAGCTCCAACTTAGCTGCTTGTTTGCATCTTCTGAGCAAACCTCAGCTTAAAAATAGGACAGAGGTGTATCCATGCAAAGGGGAAGGCCCATGATATTGCTCTTGGTAAACATTTTGGCATTTGTCTCAATAAACCATTTAGCACCCCAAACATGCATTTCACACTCTCCAATGGTACAATGGTTAACCCGTCCTGTTCCTTCGTACACCATTAATCATCAATCCCAGAGAGAAGTTGGACAACGGGAAAGAGAGCGAAGGACCCATCACCCATCTTTTTGCAGGATATTATTGGATGGGAAGGATATAGGGTCTCGTCTCTATTTCCCTTGCCCCATCTCCAGCTTATGAATTGGACCGTGAGGGATGGGTGAACGGGAGCGCGTGAAAGGCACGGGGCAAGGGCCGAGACTCACCTAGACACAGCATATTTGATTGCGGATTTGTCCGGTAGAAATCCCTTGGTTAGAAGAATACTCATATGATGGGGCCCACATAAAGATGCTTCTCTCATCCCATCTCCGTCTCCTGGAATTATCTTGTATTTGTCCATTCTCTTTCTGCAGGATCTCATGGCATCCCTCACCATTGTTAGGAGATGCCATGATAAAGAGAGCGAGAAGATAGGAAAGTTATTTCTAATCCAATAGGAAAATAATAATTCAATAAACATATTATTAACGTTAAACTAAATCCTAAAACATGCAATGGGAAAAAGTAAGAAGAATAACAGTCAATATTAGACGCCAATGATAACGAGAGAATGTACCCGAGGATGAACATAAAATGTTCTTAGTAACAACAATACTTTATGTATTGAAGATTAGTCCAGAGAAGATAGCAATTATAGCGCCAAAAGAAAAAGCTAAATGAACATGTGCTACAACACAATATGTATCATGTAGTCCTAGCTTCACTGATTCATGTCCTAGAATTGTTCCTGTTGACCCACCTATAGTAAACATTAATAGGAGGAGAAAGAAGAAGACACAAGCATTGCATTGCTAAGCTGCAATACAGATGGATTTCCGAGATATGTATAAGGCCAATTAAAGATGTTGAACCAGTTGGTACGATATTGAGATTGCAACTCCTGCAAAACAAGCTCTTGTATCACTGTCTAAACCTACAGTATACATACAATATGATGCCCCCAAATAAGACTTTGAAAAAGAGAAATAGATGCGGGTGCGGATTTATTTTGGGAATTTTTCCCGGTTTTTTTTGGATTTTTTTCCGTTTTTTGTCCGGGCCAGCAAAGTGTCGTATTTTACAGCATTTTCTCGCGAAATTGACGCATTTCACTAGCTCGTCAACATCCCCAGCATCGTTTTCAACATCCCCCGCATGTCCGACCAACATCCCTAGCATCACCAACAAATGGTGGGTAACAAAATCCAAGAAAAACAGAGCGGGGTAGTGATGATTCGAACAGGGGTGCAATTAAATCTCTGCAAAAAGTCTAAAAAGTAGCGGGTGGGTTGGGGGGGGCGGCAGCCCCCCCATGATGTTCGAAGAATTTGTAGAAAATCTAAAACGTAGCGGGGGGGTTGGGGGGGGGCGGCAGCCCCCATGATGTCGGAAGAAGTGGTGATTCAAGTAGGGGTGCAATGATTCAAGAAAGGGTGTGATAGAATTTAAAAGGCAGCGGGAGGGTTGGCGGGGGTGGCTTCCCCTATGATGTTCGAAGAAATGCATACATACAGACATACACGGACTACACAGATTACCTAAAATGTCGTATTTTGCAGCATTTTCTCGCGAAATTGGACGCTCGAAAAAGTGATGATTCAAACAGGGGTGCAATTCAATCTCTGCCGGGCCAGTAAAGTGTCGTATTTTACAGCATGTTCTCGCGAAATTGACGCATTTTACACTAGCCCGTCAACATCCCCCGCATGTCCCACCAACATCCCTAGCATCACCCACAAATCGTGTGACGGGATCAAAGAAATGATGATTCAAGTAGGAGGGCATGTCAATCCCTGTAAAAAAATATAAAAAGTAGCGGGGGGGTTGGGGGGGGCGGCAGCCCCCCCCACGATGTTGTTTGCAGAAGTGATGATTTGAATAGGGGTGCAATTAAATCTCTGCAAAAAGTCTAAAAAGTAGCGGGGGGGTTGGGGGGGGCGGCAGCCCCCCCCCATGATGTTCGAAGAATTGATGATTCAACTAGGGGTGCAATTAATTAAATCTCTGTAGAAAATCTAAACGTAGCGGGGGGGGTTGGGGGGGGCGGCAGCCCCCCCATGATGTCGGAAGAAGTGGTGATTCAAGTAGGGGTGCAATGATTCAAGAAAGGGTGTGATAGAATTTACAAGGCAGCGGGAGGGTTGGCGGGGGTGGCTTCCCCTATGATGTTCGAAGAAATGCATACATACAGACATACACGGACTACACAGATTACCTAAAATGTCGTATTTTGCAGCATTTTCTCGCGAAATTGGACGCTCGAAAAAGTGATGATTCAAACAGGGGTGCAATTCAATCTCTGCCGGGCCAGTAAAGTGTCGAATTTTACAGCATGTTCTCGCGAAATTGACGCATTTTACACTAGCCCGTCAACATCCCCCGCATGTCCCACCAACATCCCTAGCATCACCCACAAATCGTGTGACGGGGTCAAAGAAATGATGATTCAAGTAGGAGGGCATGTCAATCCCTGTAAAAAAATATAAAAAGTAGCGGGGGGGTTGGGGGCTGCCGCCCCACGATGTTGTTTGCAGAAGTGATGATTTGAATAGGGGTGCAATTAAATCTCTGCAAAAAGTCTAAAAAGTAGCGGGGGGGTTGGGGGGGGGCGGCAGCCCCCCCCCATGATGGTCGAAGAATTGATGATTCAACTAGGGGTGCAACCCCCCCATGATGTTCGAAGAATTGATGATTCAACTAGGGGTGCAACTAATTAAATCTCTGCAGAAAATCTAAAACGTAGCGGGGGGGTTGGGGGGGGCGGCAGCCCCCCCCATGATGTCGGAAAAACGCCACCTGCCGAAGAGGAACTGGGAATGCAGAGGATGCGAAAAGCCAAAAAGCCACCAAAAGCCGCATAAACCAGCAAAAAGCTAGAAGCCCAGAAGCCGAGAAGCCAAGAAGCCGAAAAGCCAAGAAGCCAAGAAGCCAAGAAGCCAAGAAGCCAAGAAGCCAAGAAGCCCAGAAGCCGAGAAGCCGAGAAGCCAAGAAGCCAAGAAGCCGAAAAGCCAAAAGCCAAGAAGCCAAGAAGCCGAGAAGCCAAGAAGCCAAGAAGCCAAAAGCGAAAAAAAAAAAAAAAAAAAAAAAAAAAAAAAAAAAAAACAACCTAAAATAAATACCCCTCCAATAGATGCCATGGCAAAGACTATTGATTGCTTGGCAAAGATGCTTATCCAGCAATTATTCTGGAAATGATCCCAAACACAGGAATTATTAAGATGTGAACTTGGGGCAATCCAAATAAGACAGCTGCATTCCATCTCCAAAATAGCCTTCAAACTGCCAACACGTAAATCCGTGGCAGGGGGTAGTATATATATATATATACATAAATACACAGATGTATGTATGTATGTATGTATGTATGTATGTATGTATGTATGTATGTATGTATGTATGTATGTATGTATGTATGTATGTATGTATGTATGTATGTATGTATGTATGTATGTATGTATGTATGTATGTATGTATGTATATGTACACATACCTACGTGCGTGCGCGCATGCATACACACACACACAAGCCAACCGCCGACATTCGGAGGTCCTGGATGTGTCCGAGGAGGAGTTCAAGCAGTTTTGCAGCGAGTCTGGCGCCAAAAAAAACACTCGGGCCACGGTGTCCAGGTTTGGGGGGGTTGATCTTTTTTGCGGGATTCCATTTAGGGCCCCCAGTTTTGACCGGTTTCTAACAAACGTGGTGAAAGTCAATGTTGTTTGTGGTTTCCCTAATGGTGATCCCATGCAAAGGACCATTTGATCAACCCCTTTTGTTGAATGGTCCCCTAAAATGGTTGGTATCCTTTGGTTTCCTCCAAATAGAAAACCAAAGGGGGTCCAGAATCTGGGTCTGTCATGCTTTTTGAGGGCACCCCTGTTTGGTGGCTTAACCAAGAACCACTATTTTGGGGCGCTGTCACAAAGAAACACCCATGTGGGTCTGTGTTGTTGTTAGGCTCGGTACCCTTGTGGGAGTTGATTGAAAGGTAAACAGAGAGCAAACCACCCATTTGTGGGGGA